ACTTGAATTAAAGGGAAATTATCCATTAGGAAAATAGTTTCATGTTTTGACTTTTAAAATAAATTTTTCATTGAGGTATAACACATACCCAAAAAGTGCAAAGCATGATAAACTCCCACAGTGCAAGGAAACCACGTAACTGGCAGTGTTACCATAAAAGGGAACATGACCAGGCCCTGGAAGTTGCTTTTATGCCTCCTTCCAGACACCAGCACCCATCAGCCTAACTACCACCTGACTTCAAAACACCAAAAACTGAGCTGGAATCATACAGTATAAGACTTTTTTGTGTCTACTCAACTATTTTTAACTTCAGTAGTTGTTTAAAAATATGTATATTTCATCCATATTCAAACCGAATTCCTAGGTTTTATTTTGTTTAGTTTCATTTTTTCCAGCTTAAATTCCACTTGCATCAAAGGAAATTAACACCTCAGTGTTCAATGTATATTCAGTTCTAGTTTCTATGTCTTTTTTTTTTTTTTTTAGTTCAAGTCCCCCCATTCTAATAAAGGGGGAAATTCTGCAAATAAAAGGAGGAAATGTTTTATTTCATCTAAGATTTCATAAGCCACAAACTTAAAGCTCTTTATCTTCTATATATAAAATTTATCTTCATGAAAAGTAACAAACTTTTTCATAAGGGTATAAGGAACACAGATGCAACAAACTTGAAAATCCTGAATCTTGACTCCCCCTACCCCAATGTATATGAGGAAGATTTCTGTTATTCTAGGGATATATCTAGGGCAAATGGAAAAGTCAAACAGAAGTAGCAGTGGATATGACAAAATACAAGAAATGCAGAACCAACTTAACAGGCTTTTTTTTTTTTTTTTAAAAGAACATGCTTCCTTATCAAAATAGCAAGCAAACTGACATGCCAAAATGAAAAAGTATTTCTCAATAATTTGAATTTAATTTGAATAATTTGAATTTAAAATAATTTGAATTTAATTTTTGACTGTTCTACCTGATCAGCAATAAAAAAAAAAAAAAATCATAGTATCTAACTGAAAATAGTGAATACACTATTGGTAAGAATGTAAATGGGTACTGGTACTCACTACGGAAAAACTCACTCAAAAAACTAAAAATAGAACCACCATACAATCCAGCAATTCCACTTCCAGATATTTAGCTGAAGGAATTGAAATGACTATCTAGAAGAGATATCCACACCCTTATGTTCCCTGCAACATTATTCACACCCTAAGTGGCCACAAATGGATAAATGGATACAGAAAACGTGGTATACAGATACATATTACCCTACCATAAAAAAGGGGCAGGGGAGAGAGGGATCCTGACAACTACATGAACCTTAAGGGCATCATGCTACATCAAAGAGACAAAAAAAGACAAATACTGCATGGTGTCACTTATATGTGGAATCTAAAAACACCAAACTCATGGAAACAAAGATCAGATTAGTGGTTGCCACAGGGAGAGGGTGGAAGGTTGGGAGGGAATCGAGGGAAAGGGTGGAGGTGGTCAAAGGATACAAACTTCCAGTTACAAGATAAAAAAGTTCTGGGGATATTATGTACAGCACAAATGACTGCAGTTAACAATACTGCACTGTATACATGAAAGTTATTAAGAGAACAGATTTTTGAATTCTCACCACACACACGTACCTACATGTGGTGACAGGTGTGTTAACTAGCCTTACTGTGGTAATCATTTTGCAATATACACATATTTAAAATCACTACATTGTACATCTTGAACAACATTAGATGTCAATTATATCTCAGTAAAGCTGGGAGGGGAGGGGGAGAAAAGAGTGGAAAGAAATTAATATGCCACCTACAGCAAACTTTAGAAATCAATATCCTATGCTAAGGAAGCCCATAAGGGAAATCTGGCTGCACACAGCTGTGTAATCAATTTGTTACCGTGACAGTCATCTCAAAAGTAGAGTAACAGTTGACAGACAACAAAGAAGTTAGATTAGACATGGGGCAATATAAAATAGAGCCCCACAAGGTTTTTGTTTTGGTTCTTATAACAAGTCAGTTAAATCATTCATTGGCAAATAAATGATTCAAGATAGACTTCCATATTCTAACTTACTCCATTATTCACTCATCCATCCCATTATTCTAACTCTGACATTATTAATCAGTCAATAAATGTTTGAAAAGTTTTCAGAAATTTATTTATTCAACAAATATTTAAAAATACACACTATATGTACATTACTGTCATAGACAGGATTTCAATGATAAGCAAAAAAACAGACTTCCTACCCTTTACGGAGGACACAGTTATGAATCCTAAAATAACAGAAATAAAAAGAAAATTATTGATTGTAAGTTCTGGGAGAGGAAAAGCAGTAACACTGAAAGGGGAGCACTGAAAAAAAGGACAGGAATTAAGTATGTCTGTCTGTGTGTATATGCAAGAGGGGTTCACTAGCCTGAGGCAACAGCAAGTTGCAAGTGCAAATGGCCTAAGGCAGAAGGTAACAGAGGGGCAATAAGTAATTTCAAGTCCATCATGTTGAGCTCTTGAGGACAAAAGAAAAATAACTCGAGATGAGGAGCAGGGGCAAACAAGAGCTAGTTGTGACCATGATGAGAATAAAATTTAGCTAGTGAGAAATTCCGAGTAATACCCATTTTCTCAATAAAATCCCATTCTTTTCATACTAAATAATCTGACGAACACGGAGAAGCCAAGGTCAGTCTCCTTACCGAAGAGTCACACATCCACTGGACCTGTGCAAACCCCAGGTCATAATACTGTCAGCACCTGAGTACAAGGGGCACCTCACACAAAGTGGTTATGCTCTGAGTGTCACAAAAAACTTTCACATTACTTTTGGTTTTCATCGATTCTTTGTAGCATATGTAGCTTCAGGAGAGAGCCTATCTTTTTCATATTTCACAAAGGTCCTCAGATTTACGAAACAATGCCTGCCTTCATAAATTACTCAGTTCAACTCCAAAACCCTTAAAAACTCACCCTTCACACACTCTTCCACACATCAAGCAGGAAGGGCTTCTACTATCCACTAGAAGGTGCAAGATCAATGTGTAATGGCTCCCAAACCCACCTCCTCAAAACTGGTTTTCTCTTAGGGAAAATAATTAGCAGAAACAGGGTGCCACAATCCCATAATGGGGAATAAACAGCAGATTTGGTGGGGTTTTGTTTTGTTTTGTTTTGAACGTTATAAAGGTTACCAGAACTGCAGGACTTCTCAGGGTCATTAACTATGAATCTCTTATGACAGGAACAGTATGTACAGCACTTCCCATACGTGTCTGACTACAAATATTTGAGGAAAGCATCGCCACTGACACAGGAGTAACATTCCCCTGAGAAAGGTGGGCATTCAGTACTGCACAAGGCAGCAGGCCTTTTGACAATGATCCAGACAATCACATAACCACACTGACTTGTTATGTATCATGAGAAAAGGAAAACAAGTAAGATCTTTCCTTATTTTGAATATTTTCCTTATTTATGATACTATAATCTGTATCTAAAGAAGTTAACACATTCTGCTCCTTTCTCACAATTTAGAATTGAATAGGTGAATAGCATGTAATGTGCGGTGACTCTGAAATGAGATACTCTTCAGCAGCTCAGGTATTCTTACTGTCCAGTATCTGAGTCTTCTAAATCACAGACCCTAACAATACTGTAAAACCCACATTACTTGATCTCCCCCGCAGAGCTCTAGCTCGCCTAAAACCTAATGCTATACTTTCATGCCATGTAAGTATCTTCTCAGTTAATCATCAATAAATTATACTTGTGACTAGAAGTTTATCTAGGTAAGTTCTAATACTGTTCTTATCTTTTGAAACTTAAAACAAATTCCTATATAGGAATAAAAAAAATCTGGTACTTTACACAAAGTTCAGAGAAGTTACAGTATTCCTCGGTAAAACAACTATACAACATCAACAACATAACCTAATTTCTTTACCCTCCCTTCCCTGGAAGAACAGCGAACTGGGAGGCTTTTGATCTCTTAATTATACCTCATGAAATTCATGTCACTTCTCAGCATCATAAGCAATTCAAATGATTTTAGCTGGTTTTACTGACTTCTGTAAGAAAAAAACTTTAACACACACAACACATGACATGAAAAAAGAAAAGTTCTGTGGGGCGCCTGGGTGGCTCAGCTGGTTGAGCCTCCGACGACGTGTGATTTCAGCTGGGATCACAGGATACAGCCTTAAGTCCAGCTCAGCGGGGAGTCCGCCTGGGATCCTCTCTCTGCCCCTCCCCCCACTCGTGCATGTACTTTCTCTTCCTCTCTCTCAAAGAAAGAAAGAAATCTTTGAGGGGGGAGTTTTGTGGGTGTCCAACAGGTTCTCAATCACTGGTTTCCCTGCATCTCATCTGAAGGCTGGGTCTGTCTCTCTCTGAACAATGCTGTAAGCCTTGATACACTGAGTAAATTATAGTACATTTTCTGGAAAAGAAAGCAAGTTAGTTGTCTTCATCTATTATCACTGGTTAGAGATTCTGAAGCTCAGTTCCTTGGAAAAGGAGGTTATCAAGAGAAATAAACTTTAGTCTGAAGGCCTTTAAAGATACTTCTTCAGCTTCTGCTCACTGCTGCAGCTCATGTGAAACATCCCGCTCCTGAGAATCTCCACTAAGGTTTACTTATCCTACTATGTGTTCTATTCTGCAGGGTCGCCACTGCCTGTGTTGAACATAAAGGGCAAGGAAGCAATCAAACTATGAGATCTACTGAATAGATGGTGAAGTGAAAGAAGCCATAATACAAGGACAAAAAGAAAGAAACTGACAAATGCACTAACCAGGACAAAAGACCAAGTTGAGGGAGACACAAGCAAGAAGCCAGCGCATCCAACTGCACCAAAGTGGGTCAATGTGTTTCCGACCTTGACTTTTTTCAACCCAAAACTACTATCTACTTCTCTGGGTCCCCTCTCTTCCCTAACGTGTAAAGAGGCCTGTAAATGCAGATGACATTTCGCCACCACAAACACTGTGCTCCTTACCTCCTGGTCTATAGACGACATCATCCTCAGTGATATAAGAGGTTATCTCGCCAGTGTCTGTCCTTTCATAACGAGATTTTTTTTTCGGTGGTTTCTTTTTGTTCTTCTTCGTGGACTCCTCCGTGGTGGCACTATTATTGTCATTATCCTCATCTTCGCTGTGGTCACTCTCAGCATAATTTTTGGCTCCTCCTTCCAAGGTGCAGCTCCTGCGTGGTCTTGAATTCTCACCCTCTCTAGCTTTGTCTCGTTTATCTCTCTCTCGGTCCCGATCTCGGTCCCGGTCCTTCTCTTTATCTTTGTCTTTGTCTTTATCAGCTGTCATGATTCTCCACGTGCCTTCTTCTGTCCTCTCACGGCTAGGCCTCCGTGAAAGGTAGACAGTAAGCCTGGGCTTCAGTCTTCTGAATTTCTCACTCAATTCCAGGGAAAATCCAACCACTCCAACTACCCCAACGTTTCAAAAACGCTAGGCAAGAAAAGAGAGAAAGAGAAGCTGATTTTACTTTAACATTTTCTCATATTTCCTTCCTAAAATAATGCTTTGTTAAATGAATCTCTTTCTTACTCATGTTTTAGCCCCAAAAACCTGCCAAGCCATTGGAAAAAAGTTAGGACAAGTGATACAAAGTTTAAGTATGTGAAGCTTTTGGCCTCAGCTAGTATATGGCTTGGGATTTACTACCACACCAATAACGAAAACATCTCAATGCATAATAGTAAACCACACTTTCTGTTCATCAATTGTTCTCTTCTTTTGAAGGAAAAAGTAACACATACCTAATACTCAATATATAATGGGTATAATTACATAAAAGGAGCTTCATAACCCACAATATTAATTTACAAGGGCAAGAACCTATATACTAAAAGTATTAACACCAGGGGGAGGGGGTGTTAAAAAAAATTTTTGGATAGCCTGGAAAATTGTCTCAAGATGTCTCTCACAGGGAACTATCTTCTGAAAACTCTTTCCAGCCACATCTCCAAATTTCCAGAGCTCCTTTCAAGAATAAACACAGGCATTGACTCAAATAAAAGTGATGACCCTCAAAGCAAGAGTCTTGCCTTCAACTGCAATTCTTCCCATCTTCCAAATCTACTGCTCTAGTTATTTTCCAGGAAAAATGGTATCTCTGAATTATCTCTGCCTTAACAAAACAGCTTCCAAAAACAATCTTCCATCTTTAGGGAATATTAGGTGGTTTTTACATGCTTTCAAATTTCCACTATCAGTAACTTCCCTAGTAAACTCCTCTCTAGAACTAAGCCCAACAAGGAAAGACTGAAGTTTTTAAGACTTTACGATGAGAAGAGAGACTCTCCAATCTCAACCCAACACAATTCTTGTAAAAATTTTATAGGAGGGGAGGACAATGACAGATGGATCTGAACTATTTTGTTTACAAGTCAGTTTTAGGACAGTCATAATTACCGGCAATTTATCTTTTGCCATTCTGAATCATCTTCCTCAACATCTCTCATTTGTTGAACAATCTATACTAAATACTATCTACATGCCAGGTGTTTGGAACTGAAGACACAATGAGGGAAAAACTCAAGAGTCCTTGCCCTCAATGCTCTAGTGCCCCCACCCAAAAAAAAAAAGCAAACAACTGGTCAATATGAGAACCATCTGCTTCTTATGTTACTAGGGCCAGACAGAAAACGACATATGCAAACAAACAAAAGATTGGTCCTCTTTATTCAGACAACAACAAACAAATCAACTGGCAATTACATGCCTTAAACACAGAGAAAATTCTATTTGGTCATGCCAAAACCATCAAAAACGATCATATACTCTCTCTTAAAAGCTCTTAGGTCAACTCTGACACCAGAAAAGACCTCTCCATAAGCACTTCAAATATCCTCAGGCATTCAAGAAAATATAAAATATTCACAAGCACCTATGGAAGACAGACCTATAAAGAAGTAATAATGCTGACAACTTAAAGTCAGAAGAGAGAAAGCATGTAGCACAGACTTAGATTACTTCCTTCTACATAGGAAATACGCTTCTAGATAGGATTTCAATTTTCTATTCATATTTCAAGAAAATGAAAAATTATCCTAGTGCCTGCAGAAGTTTTACCTAGATGAATAATCTGCTAAACAGACAGTAATATACTCCCAAGTCCCTGTAGGCCACTAGTATTAGCAACTGAAAATACACAAGGAGACATACTATTTTCTCCACTGGGCTGAAGTTTAAAGCATGAACAAGCCAATCATGCAAGAAAGAAAACTATTAGCAAACACCGTTTTTAAAAACGTTCCTCTTTGACACTAAAAACATAACAAGGTCTACTTGGAATCTAAAAAGAACAAGCAGCTTAGGCTGAAAACTTCTCAGATATAGCTCAAGGACAGACAACTGATGAATTTAAGAAAAAGAGCATTCTCTCCAGGGTTAACAAGAAAACCAGAAAATTATGTAAAAATATTATTTCAGCACTCAAAAAGGAAAGAAATATTAAGTCCATGTTGTACATTCAACTACTCCTTACAAAATCATATATACTAGCTTCTATTTACAAAGAAATTTGAGTTATTTCTGCCAAGACTAAGCAAGAAAGAAAAATTCAAGAAACAACAGAGGGCATCCACAAAATAAAACCCCGTGTGTATATCCAAAACTTTCAGGTAACTAAGAACAGTGATAATCCAAAGCCAAAGTCAACCAATTACCATTTGACTCTAAAACACAGTGCAACAGGGATGTATTTTTTTCCCTCTGCATTTACCATACTAATCAGATTTTTTCTAAGCCTCATTATACAATGACCAACACACAATAATAATGTGACATTTGAGGAAAGGAACCCAAAGAGAAACCAGATGGCAATGACAAGTGTAGATGTCACTTCAATTTGCTAGAAATGATCTACCAATACAATAGCATTTTTGTTAACAATAAGGGGTTTATAGACCAGGTTCCTGCCATGACCTCATTCAATTCTTTCTCAACAGCTCAGTGAACTTGACAAAAGTCACCATCCCCACTTTATAGACTACAGAAGGGAAACTGAGAAGAAATCATGTGCATGAAGCCATACAGCCAATGATTCTGCCAATTCGACCCAATTATAACCTACTACTCGGGTTGTAATCTGTGCCCCAACGTCACCAGCTCTTCCTCGGTGCTAACTTTTCCTGCATGCATCCAGGCTGATAATTTGCACACACAGATTTAGGAAACACACTCACTTTGCCCTTCCCTTCCCCAAAAGAAATTTTTACCCAGTAACAAAGACAAAAATATTGAAGGTATTTCTGTTGATTCACTTGCTCAACCCAGTTAAACAAAAACCAGTGTAAGATACTTTTTAAGATTTTATTTTTTTATTTATTTGAGAGAGCAAAAGCGAGGCGCACTCACACATGAGTTGGGGGGGAGGGCAGAGGGAGAGAGAATCCCAAGCGGACTCCCCACTGAGCTCAGAGACCCATGCAGGGCTCCATCCCACAACCCCAAGGATCATGACCTAAGCCAAAATCAAGAGTTGGATGCTTAATTTCCTGAGCCACCCACGTACCACTATAATATACTTTAAAAACAAAAGAAAAAAGAAAATCTAATCTAGAACATGTTCAGATTCACAAGTCTATTCACTGAACAAATGTCTACCAAATGCCTATTGTGTACTAGTTACTGCTCTAGGTTTGAGGAAAGCAGGAGAGAACCACACACAAACTTCCCCACTCTTGTGGAGCTGATGGTCCAGGGAATGGAAAGACACCATAATCAAAAGAATGATATGTATATAATATGAGAAGTTCTTAAATAAGGAATCCAATGGGGGGTGGGACGGGACTCAGTGTGGGAGACTTGCAAGGAAGGCCTTGGGCTTTGCCCCAAGCAAGAGTGTTAAAGCCTTGAGGGTACATGAAGGGAGCTCCTTCCAGCAGAGGGGGAGGAGGTGCAAATGTCCAGAGGCAGAAGTGAGCTGAGCACACACAAGATCCAGGAGGCCAGTGGGGCTGCAGTGGCATGAGGAAGAGGGAAAGTGGAAGGAGGAGATGAGTTCAGAGAGGTGAAGGGGGTGCTGAATCCTGCCTTGTAAGCCAGTGTAAGGACTTTGGAGCCTTTACTCAAGTGCCGTGAAGTGACATGAAGTGACTCGAATGACACTTCAGCTACTGCAGGGATCTGAGTAACAGAGAAAGACATGATCTGACTATGTTTAAGATCACTCTAATCGTTGAGAAAAAACCTAAAGGGATGCAGGGGTTACAGCATGAAGACCAGTGAGGGAAGAGGCTTACTATATAATAAGCCAGGTAAGAGGCAGAGGTAGCTGGGACCAGCCAGCACGGCAGGGGCAGAGAAGGGGAGGAGTCTTATTTTCTGTGTATTTTTAAGGTAAGTGTCAAACTGGATGCGCTGACAAAATGGGAGGTGAGGTGTGACGGAAAGAAGCCAGGAACAACTCCAAGTGTTCTGGCATGAGCAGCTGGATGATGAAGCAGGCATTATATGAGTTTCGGAAGAAAGATTAAGAGCTCAGGTATGAACATGCTAAGTTTGAGAGGCTTTAAAAAGCACACAAAGATTTTCAGTAGGCAGAGGTCCATGCTGGAGATAAAGATTTACTTTTTAATTTCGTTTTTAAAGCCATGAGATTGAATGAGATCACCAAGGAAGTGAATGTGCATAGATTTTCTGATAAAATTTTTTAGACCCACAAAAACCTTTAGTACTCATGCTTGAGTGGAGAGCATATTCAAAACAGACCTGCAACTTACAAATTTCCAAAAGCAGCACCCCTAGGACTAATAAAAAAACATGTATTCTTCTCAGTAGTTCCCACATTTATCAGGTTGCACTCCATCATTTTATCTTAACTGATAAAAATCTGGTCAGCCAGCCTAGCTGTGCTCTCATCTTATCAAAATCAAAGGCCTTCAAGAGTCAGTGATACAGAACTACTTCTCTTTATAACTTCAGCTAGTTCACCCTCCGCATAAACATCGTTTGCCTCTTAAAGTGAAGCCAACAACCGCTCACAAACCCCTCAACACGACTTAACAGAACTGATTCAGAAAATGCTAAAATTCCTGTCATGCTCGGGCCCAAATCTCATTTTAAGAAAACCATTTCCTGACCCTATTTAAGCAGTCTCAGGAGGCTAGACCCATGTCAGAACTGGACTGAAAAGCCAAGACCCAAGATCTTGGCACTGCTATGTACTCAACTGCCTTGGGCAAATCACTCTACCTCTCCAAATCCATTTCACTGCTGTAAAATAAGGACAATCACCATCGACCTCCCAGAACTGCTTTGAGAATTAAGTTAATTAAGCATACCTTATGCATATGCACTTACAGACTGTGAAGTGCTTTCCAGATGCAAACTCTCACCAGTAGATAATACCCAATAGTATATCGTGCTATGCAAGATACAAACATAGCCAAACATCACCCCTACCCTCCACAGTTTAGTGCCTCTTTGGGCGTGGGCTGGGG